AAGTAGATAATACATTGCATAGAGAGAACACCTTATCGGATTGTGTGGAACCAGGCAAGGTTGAAGGATAGGGGAGGAGTAGAAAGGAGGAGAGACCTCACTTTTACCCCTTATAATATCTTCCTCTAAGAAATTGTTTGATTTGAACAAAATCAATTACTTTCAAGTATTTTATTTCATAATACAGGGTTAATTATCAAAATGGTCCCTGACTTCTCGTATATAGGCAATTTAGTTCTTTGTTTATACAAAATTGTCTAAAATAGTCCTCAGGAGACTAAACTGAGATTTGTTTTTTATAGTCGAGGGAATAAATTGAAATTAATTTTGTATCACTTTTTTGGCATGAGAGACTATTTTTGATCAATTTTGTATAGTTTAGGGACCAAATTGGAGAAATATGATAAAATTTTGGGACTAAATTGGCCACATACAAATGATTGAGGCATTAGTTTGGGCTTTAATCTTTATTGCATATTATGAAGAAGAAAATAAGCTGAGGCAAGAAAAACATTTGACTCCACATGAATTTTTCATTACTCATGTTTCTATATCATATTGCAAGCATTGACTCATTTATCCATCTTTTTGAATTATAAATGTAGTTATGAAATTGAATGAACTTATAAATTGTGTTAGTAATATTATTTTTCTTTTTATTTTTAATTATAGGTGCATTTATGTTGCTTGTGCTCTTATTTTTTCTTACAATTTTTAAATGATGTTAGTTCATTGTCCATTTGGTGTAATTTTCTAGTTTACAAAAAAAAAAATGGGCCAACAATTATTGTTCTCACTTATCATGGCAAATAAGGACTTTTTTTAAAATTTTTTTTTTCAAATTACATGCTTTTCTCATTGTTAGGTAGCCAGCACTTTTTCTTTATATTCTGGATTTTGCATGTCGTTCTTGGTTGTAACAAATGTAGTATTTGAATGTTGCTGATTGAGTTCTATAATGCCATATTCTCAATTTTGTCATTTGTTAATTACCTGTGGAACTATTTAATGGCTTGTTTCCATTTTTTTTTCTCTTTACTTGGTGTTGTTTCTTGCTACTAGGTGAAATATGGGTACTCAAATTATGTTTCCTTTTCACATTTCCCAATTCATTTTTTCTCTGGAATTGCCAATTTACTTAGACATATCCTTGAATTATTTTCGTCCATTAATAGGTCCATTCCACGCTATTTATCATCTTACCTTGCTAGATATGATGATTACTTAAAAATCTCAATTTTATAAGGGAAGCTATACCATGCACTGGAAAACATCATTAAGATGGATTTTATATCTTGAATTCACTGATATCTTTGATTAAAAAAAAAATGAAAAAGTTGCCATAACTTATTGCATATTTGGTTGATGTCAAAATTGACTAGGATTTACATTTTTTAGGAAGATTTACATACATACCACTCAATTTTATAAGTTCTCATTCACTGATAATTTTTACATCTACGCCACCTTCCCTTTATGTATGAAAAGGTGTATTTCACTATTTAAAATTTAAAATGGTAATATTTTTTATGTGATGAGAAAGATTTGGGTGGTATAAATGTAAAAATTAAAGTTTAGGTGTGAGATATGTAAGCACATAAGAATTGGGTGGTATGTATGTAAGTGCCCCTTTTTTGTAAAGCTAAAAAAATGAAATAAGTTGCGTTCTTTTTAATAATTGCATATGCTGTTATTTCTCGTCCTTCCTTTGTGGAAACCAACTTTATTCTCTACAGTAGCATTATATGCATAAGCTACTATGTGCATGTCAGGGTGGCAACCTTTAAACAATAATGTACTAGTAAATAAGTATACCCCTGATCATGTTAAAAATGAGCCTACATATTTTACAAGAAATAACAAACACAAACATATATGAAGCTGGCATGAGCCCTCTAAATTTGAGAGAAAATCCATGGCATTTTTTCCTGCTCTAGGCCTTCGATCATATGATTGTAAGCTAACTAGCTTTATTTCTCTTGATGCATTCTATATGGTCACATATGTCAATATACACAATCCCGAGCACAAAATCATCTTTAAATGACATTTACAAGCTCATAAAAATTGACTCAACTAGAAAAACGTCACCATTTAGTAGATTCACAAGACAGTGTTGGAAGAGAAGAAAAATAACCAAACTAGGCTTTGGGAATTGAGCTCATGAGGAGCTTTCACTTTAAACCATGAGTATCGTCTTATAATGGCCAAAAATATTATCCTTTCACGTCCTTCCTTTGCAGGAACAAACTATATTTTCTACAATAGCATTATATGCTTGAGCTACTACGTGCATGTTAGGCTGGCAACCCAGATACAATAATGTACAAGGAAATACTCAAAATTAGTACACCCCGTCTGTGTTAAAAATTACAAGAAATAACAAACACAACCAAATATGAAGTAGGCATAATCACTCACAAACATGCACGCTGTATTAATGTGAGAAGCACTCCAATATTAAGAGAAATTTTATGCGATTCTTGCCTGTTCAAGGCCTTCCATCATATGATTGTAAGTTAACCAGATTTATTTCACTGGACGAGTTCCATATGACTAAGTACTTCAATATATAGAATGCTTAGCACAAAATCCTCTTAAAGACATCTGCAAACTCATAAAAATTGGCTCACAACTGGGAAGCATCACCATTTAGTAGATTCACAAGGCACTGTTGGAAGAGAATAAAATTAATCAAACTAAGGTTTGAGAATTGAGCTCATGAGAAGGTTTTACTTCAAACCATGAGTATCACCTTATAATAGCCAAACAATTATCCAGGGTTCTTTCCAAATGTTCTTTTCTATTCCCTTTTCTTCTCATCATTCAATTTCTTTTTTTTTTCTTTCTTGCTTTTAACCTCTTGCATGGTGGGGATAGCCCACACTTCTTTTTCTCATTTTTAAGCTGAGTTGGATGCAAAATCTTAAGCACAAGCCAAGCCCAATATGGCTTTGTCCCGTTCCTATATATTAAGCCCAACAAATCTCTCTCTCTCTCTATCCATCGTTCTCTTTATCTATCTACCTTTCTATCTCGTTACATCTCTCTCCATCTATCTCTCTCTCTATCTCTCTCTCTCTATATATCTTTCTTTCTCTCTGTCTCTCTCTATCTCTCTCTATCTATCTATCTCTATATGTCTTATTTATTTTCTCTCTCTCTCTCTCTCTCTCTCTCTCCATCTATTAAGTTCATTGCAGTTCTAATTGCCTCCTTTTAAATTGGTCCAAGTAATCAAGAGATAATAGGCATTGAATCCACTTCTCGTATTCTATTTATTCTTTTATCTATCCAATTGTGTTGAGGTATCTCGAAGACTACCTTCTTTAAGTATTTTGTAGCATACACTGTAATAATCGTAAACATCTATTCATGCACACAATTTACTAGTATTTCAACCTGTTTCTAATACGTCATCAAAAGCGCTCAAAGACATTTAACATCTTACTTATTGGTTTGAGTACATAGGCAGAACTAATCCTTGAACAATTATTAGGGGCATTTACATAGATACCACCCAATTCCTATTTTTTACATTTCTAACACCTAAACTTTAACTTTTACATTTATACCTCCCAAACCTTTATATCACACCGAAAATATTACTATTTATCTTTTTCGAAGTGAAATACACCTTTTCATTTTTTAAGTAAAGTAGCATATATATATAAATTGAAGTTTAGGTGTTAGATATGTAAATACATAAGAATTAGGTGGTATGCATATACATCTTCCCAATTATTAATGTTATATAATGTAAAGCACCACCAATGCTTGTTTTCCTTCCGTAGGGTTTAGCCCGTTCAATTTCTTTTGTTATATGGTAGTAGGTTACAAGTTTTCTTCTTTTAGGCACATGTATATATAACACATAAATCTTGATATGTACTTATTTACCATTCAAATCTTTAAGTCACATCTAAAGTATCATTAATATTAACTTTTTAAAACTGAAATATCTTTTGTTGGATATGTTTTGAAGTGCTTAGGATATATATAGAAAAAAAATATCAAAATCTAGGTTTTAGATACAGAAATACATAAGATTTGTGTGATATGTAAATCTCCTTTTTTTTTTCTTTCATATTATGATCTTATGCATGTACAAAGCAAAAAAATACATAATTTATAAAGCAAAACATTTATTTTGTCCACAATAACTTTCAAAATCTCGACTTTTCCTACAAAAAGTAACACAACTAATTTTCTGAACAATTGCAGTCATTGAGAACATGACCCTTAAATGATGCGGACAACCTCCATTACTTTTGTGGGGCATTTACATACATATACAATTTTTTATTTTTCTTATATCTATCTAACATAAATCTTTATATTTACTTATTTACCATTCAAATCTTAAGTCACATCTGAAGTACCATTAATATTAACTTTCCTAAACTGAAATATCTTTTTATGGATATGTTTTAAGTAATTCCGACATCTAAGTTATATATAGAAAAATAACAAAATCTAGGTGTCAGATATATAAATACATAGAATTGTGTTAGATGTTATGTAAATCTCTCTTTTTTTCTCTTTTGTTAAAATCCTATGCATGTACCAAAAAACCTCTGAAAGTGCCCGACACTGCCAAAGCTATGGTATTCCTAGTTTTCAAGCTACATCCGCTTAATTTCATTGCATATTCTAATTATATTTTCTAGCAGAAAGAAAGGAAGATTTACATACACACCACTCTATTCTTATGTATTTATGTATCTAATATCTAAATTTCAGTTTTTACATCTATGCCACCTCACCTATATATGAATAGTTGCATTTCACTTTTTAAATGTTAAAATATTTGTATTTTTTTTATGTAGTATGAAAGATTTGGGTGATATTAATGTAAAAAAAAGCAAACTCTAGGTGTTTCATATGTAAATACATAAGACTTGGGTGGTATGCATGTAAGTGCTTCCAAAAAAATAATATCCTTTTTACATTGTTAGATCTCAGTGCTGTAACACATTTATATTGATGGATATTTTCAGGGAACAAATAACCAGTTACTGCTGCTAGAAAAAATGAACGATAGGGTGGCAAAAGAATACAGCGGATATGGGGATGTTGCTTCAGGTTTAAGAGTCTTTGTGGAAAAGCTGAACGAGAAAAGCCGAGGCTTTCATGATTATGTCTCTCAGATTGATGCAATAGAGCAGCAAGTCAAGGATTTTGAAGCCGTTGTATCCATGCTTGATAACTATGTCTCTCTGCTGGAGAAGAAAGTAGAACAGGTTTGCCATAATTTGCCTTCTTAGACATCTTAGCTTGAAGGTTGGAATGGATTCAGTTCTTTTGCACTTTACTGAATTTGTTAGAAATTTTGTAGGTATATAAAGCACAAGTGATAGAGAAAATTTTTGGTCTGTTTAGGGCTGCTTTTGCTTTTTATATGGGTGGTTATAATGTTGTTGTGGGAATAGTAGTTTTTTTGGAAAGCTATTGTGGATATTATAATTTTTTTTTTTCAATGTTTGACAGTAAAATTTTTTTATAGCTAACACGCTTTAGTAGGTCTAGTTGGAAAAAATATTTTCAAAACAGACATTTTAAAAAAAATAGTAAGAAAATAATAATTAGATAAAATTGTGATGCAATTTAAAATATACAAATACTCGAAAGTGAAGCAAGAGCTAGGGTTTCACAGAATCTCACGAAAACCTATGGTGTCATAAATCTTTGCAATCCTCTGATTGCTGGACGGGCTTGGCACGAGCACCGCTTGTGAAAATCATAATTACAAGATTTTCTTCCATGTTATTAAATTCAATATAATTTTTTTCTTTTCTAGTATTTTTTTTCTAATTAGGTTTATTTTTGAAGGGGAGCACTTTATTATGTAAGTCTATTTTCCTATTTTGGGCAACTTTTTATTTTGTTTGTGTATTTAGAGATTGTATTTTTTATTACTATCTGAAGGAGACTATTTTTCTTTTGCAAGTGGTGAATTTCCTCAACATTCGTACTACACAGTTTTGTCATTCATCTCACTATTTTTCAGTCGGGACAACTGTCGAACGCAGTCTATCCCCCTTTCAAAAATCGTCAATAGCTCATATTTTTATCTCATTGCTAATCCACAACCATCTTCCTGTTAAATCCACTGCCCAAACACCTTCTATAAGAATGATATCATCTGGCATCAAAGTTTGGTGATTTTAAATTTTTAGGGATTTGACATTTTCGTCTCAAATCTAAAATTTTAAAAAAAAATCCACCTATTCAAATCATTCCTACTGCAATTTTTAACTCCAATTCTAAATTTTTGAAATTCAACATTCTTTCCTTCACTAAAATTTTCCTGACAACTGTCATCATGATCTAATCTCCCAACCAATCTTGATTTGTAATAGTACATTCTCCAAAACCCAAATATGAAAAAAAAAACTCCATGTTATTAAGGAAAAATCCTTAGTGAGGTGTCCATGAACTTACATTGAAGATACGAAGTGTAGAAAATGTGATATGATATTTCTTATATCTTCTCTATTATTTGTGTCATTTTTATGCTTTTCTCGGAGATATGTGTTCGTATATGCATAATACATGTTGATAATTAGCAAGGGGGAGCATAAGGAGTCATATTCATGTTATGTCTTTGCTTGGCACTCTAGTGTCCCAGCTTGGTGCTTATGCGCCTGAACCAACTCCAAAATTTATCAAATAAACAATAGAGAGAATGGTGGAGCCAGTGTCCAAGCGCCCAGACGCCCAAACAAGTGCCTATGCTCCCAGACCAGCGCTTTGGTGCCTAGAACAACGCCTAGGCACCCAGTTCAAGATCCTAAGCGCCCGACGATGAATGCCCCATTCACGCCAAAATCCAGAGCGGAAGAAATCCTAGTAGCAACCCTGAGAGTTGTCGTGTCCATTTGTGTCACCTTCAAGCTCCCCAACGCTCAACACTGACTTAAGATGATTTCCTTGGTTTTGTGAAGTTTCGATGGTCCAGAAGACATAAATCCAAAGGATTTCAATGGATTATGAAATGTATGCCATTTCTCTTGTTTTCTAAGGTTCTTTGGTTGCTTAGTGTGTATGTGTGTGTGTATGTGTAGAGATTTTAGTTTGTGATTGTGAGAGCAAGTAATGAGTGCTAGTAATTAAGGAGGTACCTACTAGCATCTATTGGGAACAAGGTTATAATCTTATTGAGTTTTATCTTTCTTTAATTTCGATATATTTGTTTTGATATTGTGAATGCAAGTGATGTTTTTATTTCAAATCAAGCATAGTACGTAAATTTCTTCTCTCCCTTGGTCGGTATTTCTATGAAATCTAGAAAAAAAAATCCATATTTTGATCTTTGAAAACTTTAATTTATGAAGTTGTTATTTTGACCTTCTAAACTTAATTTACATTCAAATTTGTTACTTGAATAGTTAAAATGAGCTATAATCTAAGATTATCAAAAGAAGACTAGAAGCACAATTAGATTAAAACACATAAGTATAGCGGAGTAGGAATATTGCTAATAGATTCTTGCAAACTTAGTGAGAAATGTGGTTGTCTGAGAATTCTCTTTGGTTTAGAAAAAAATTACTATAATATGAGATTTCAACGCTTGTTTTATCTTGGCAAAGAATAAGAATTAATAGGCCATGCTTGACAACTATAGTAGAAAAATCGTTTGGAAAATTTTTATTTCATTTAACCAATAAATCTCATAATTGTTAGAAAATTCTTCTCTAATTTAAGTTTTTATTTTGAAATTAGGATTTAGGCACTTTTAAAACTTCACAACAAACTTTTGACACTTCAAACTAACCCAAGGATTAGTAAAATAGATCACGATTTTGAAAATTAGCTTGTTCTCTTTAAAATTGATACACACTCATAATTCGTATACTACTTGATCGACATGTATACTTGCATGATTGACGTATGCATACTGTAGAGTGAATAAGGTTTTTGACATCATTGTTGTGGAATGACGTTAACTTTTAAATTTAGGACAATATTAGTTGAGAAATCAAAGTTTAGATTTGAAAATTGTAATGATATGCTTGTTGTATGTATTATGTTTACATTTTATTTTATTTTTCTTGAAGTTATAGAAAATCCAAAAACATTGTGATTTAGCATTTAGTTATTTTCTACACTTTTTGGCCTTAATTGTATTATTGTTCTTTGTGTTTAGTAAGTTATTGTGATTTGTTTGTTTATGATCAGTAGTTAGTCCTAAATTGTATGTGTAGGATTGGATATGTTGAACTAGTAACATTTGACATAAAATAGAAAAAAATCACAGAACATTTAGAAAACTTGCAAAACTCAAAAAGACTAGAGAAGCAATGACAAATAACCAGGAAGTAAATGACTATCCTAGATCACTTAGGACATTTACCAACCATTCGGTTTAAGAGATTCATCGAAGTATTAATAAAATTGTAGAAGCCAACAATTTTAAACTGAAATCTTTTATAATTAAGATAGTCGAGAAGAATCAATTTGGAGGTTTACCTTATGAAGACCTAAAGTCACGCTTAGCTAGTTCATGGAGTTGTATGCAACTTTTTGGTGAGATTTTTATTGTGAATCTGTCATATATCTCGAAAGGTTTATATTTAAATGATTAAATACAACATTCAAAGAATAATATACTTCCCAAAAGGTTATACATTTTATCTCATAATGAATCTAACCACCTGGATGATGAAAATTTTCATGATTTATGAGTCTATAAAATCAAGAATTTTCCCCTTACCTTGTGAGTGTAAAATAAGGTTTATTTTATTCTCAGGTCTGATATCCCTACGAGGGAATGCCCTCATAGTTAATTATACCTTGAAGTTTTGGCCCCGAAGAATACTTTCGATTGAAGTTTTGATTTTTATCTTTAACAATCATCGGTAAATGTTTATGAGGTAATTGATATTGAAGACTTAGATGAATAGATTGAAATGATTTGAGTGGAATTGGAAGCATTTAAATGAGCTTCATTAGGTTTGATTTACTTGAGATGAGAACTTGAGTTGGTTGAGTTTAATTTCATTGGAGGGATCAGATTGATCTATTTGTTTTAATTGATTTAAGTTTATTTTAAAAGTTGCTGGTTAAGAATATGTTTGAATTTATTTATGTTATGCTTGTTTTAGAATCATTTATTTTAGTTATTTGAAAATATTTTTTATGATGGTTGAAATAGATTTATTTTAAAGTTTATTTTAAGATTTTTTGAGTTTGTGTAATGATTATTAAGTTAATTATTGAGATTTTTTGAGTTTATCTAAAGTTTAGGGTTTAGTGGTACTTTATAAAGTTGATTAAATTTTATTAAAGTATATTAAATTTAAGTTTACTAAACTTTAATAAGGTTTATGAAAGGGTGGAAATTTATTAAAATTTGTTAAATTTAAGTTTATTAAGATGTGTTAGGATTGAAGTTTTTTAAGGTTTATTGAAATGTATTTAAGTTGTTACAATTTGTTAAAATTTATTTAAATTTATCAAAGTTTGTTAAAATTTATTTAGGTTTATTAAAACTTATTAAAATTTGAGTTTGTTAGAATTTAACGAGGTTGATTAAAATTATGTTTAATTGAAGTTTATGAGGTTTAATTAGACCTCCATTAGTTTGATTAAAATTGATCATATTTTATAAAGTTTGTTGAAATTTGATGAAGGTTTATTTAAATGTGGGTTTGAGTTTTAAATTTTAATTTGAGTTTTAAGATCTTAAAATTCTAGGGGTTGGGCCTAACAATTTGATTGAAAACGAGAATTTGATATCGGATTTAGAGTTCAAGTTTAAAATTTGGGTTTGATTTTAGAGTTGAGGTTGGATCAAAATTGATTTGGAGTTGAGGTGAAACTGATTAGATTTGAAATTGATTTGGAGTTTTGTTGGAATTGATTTGAAGTTGGATTGGAATTGAGCTGTTTTGGAATTGATTTGGAATTTGAGGTGAGATTGAGTCAATTTGGAATTGATTTTGAGTTGGGTTGAAATTGAGTTGTTTTGGAATTGATTTTGACCAAAATTAGGGAGTAAGAAAGAGTAGGGAATTTCTAGATGGAGGCAAAGCTTTGTCACAAAATAACTCTAAAAAGGCGGCTACTAAATGGAGTAACCTAAACTTTGGAAATAATGCCCTCGGTCAAGACACCTATGACTTTCCATCATTTCAAGTGCATTAAGTTTGATTATTAACTAACTAAATAACAAGAGATCTCCCTTATTATCATAACAATGACTAAGGTAGACCTTCCTATTAATTAGTAGTTTGGGGCACCTTTTTTAGTAACCATTTCTTCTAGGGCACCCCTATAATCCAAAGGGTAAGGCTGTTTGTTTTATAGGTCATAGTCATTAATTCCATCTATTGGGTACCTAGTAAACTAACCTAGGCTTCTAGACTGGACTACTCTAGGATGTGTATAGTCCTGGCTGAAATTTTGTGGAGTTATTGAGGCTTCTAAACTAGACGTATAGTCCTGGCTGAAATTCCTGGCTGAAATTTTTTGGAGTTATTGAGGCTTCTAAACTAGACTACTCTAGGATGTATAGGTCATAGACTGGACTACTCTAGAATGTGTATAGTCCAGGCTAAAATTTTGTCGAGTTATTGAGGCTTCTAGAATGGACCACTCTATCACTGAAAGAATGAGTTCAACTCAATCCTTAGCAACAGGGGATGGTCATCAAGTGACAAGTTATTGTGGATGCAACCAAAAATGTGTGTGATTCTTATTATTGACATAGTTATTACGTTTTTTTTCTGCTTAAGGCAGAAGTGTATTGAAGGAGCTTGATCTAAAGATGTTGTAATCAGTATTGTATATTGGAACTTTATTATTAATGAATTTCATGTTTTTTGGCTTAAGTTTCTACAATGACTCTTATAATTGTCATACAGTGTTATGTTTGCTGATTGGATAAATGTATTATTATTATAATTTTGTCACACTTGATTCCTTTTTTAAAAGATTTGCAACCATCCTAGGCCAATCTTTCTTTCAACCTAAATAATCAGCTTAGCTGTGTAAATATGTAGGAATCGGATGCTATGTATGTAAAGGCAATGGTTGGAGCATAGTACAAAACCATCAATGCATATTTTTACATACATACCATGATAAAATGATTATATTTTTTATGTGATACAGAAGATCTGGGTGGTATAAACATAAAACACAAGGTTTAAGTGCTACATATGTAGGTACATAGGAATTGGGTGGTATGAATGCCCCATGATTGGAAGAACATTAGACTATCTACCTTGTTCTTTTATTTCGCTTCAAAATGGAAGGGTGTAATATGAAAGCTTCAATTGTGTGCTGATCTGGTCATTTTCATGGTAAGCAAATGCTTGTGAGAAAAGAAATAAAGAAGATTTACAGACAGACCACTTGATTCTTATGTATTTATATATCCAGCATCTAAACTTCAATTCTTACATACATGTCATCTTCCATATAAATGAAAGGTGTACATCACCTTTTAGAAGTTAATATGAGCAGTGAACAACCATCAAATTTCTGAACAAACAGGAGCATTTACTGATTTTTTTTTGTCTTCAATGCACATGTGGAGCATTTACAAATATACCACCCAATCACCTATGTATTTATATAACTAAAACCTAAGCATTATTTTTGACATTTATACCTATCAAATCTTTCATATCATACAAAAAAATACCAAATTTTTAAAATTTAAAAAGTGAAATACATTTTTTCACGCATAGATAAAGTGGTGCATATGTAAAAGGTTGAAGATTAGGTGTTAGATATGTAAATACATAAGAATTGAGTGGCATGTATGTAAATCTGTCAAAATATAAACACCACTATTGGCCTAAAAATGAATGCATGATTCACATCAAACAATGGGTTAATAAATAAGGGTGATTACAACTTCATATTCATATTGAGGAAATGCTTGGCATTGTCTTCAAAAAACAAAGCTTTCTGCTATACTTCTTTTCTATGAAATGGCATATCACACGTTACTTCAATTACATATAAAGAATCAACAAAGCTTTGTGTCATCTCTCAGCAAATAGAGAGCAACTAAAAGTTTGAGCCTTGAATTCTTGATTAATTCGTCAATTAACAAAATCAATACTTTAGCACACAAAAAAAACATTCTAATATAGCATCGTATCTATTACAAAAAATGAGTTTATATTGTATTATATCTATTACAA